TAACTTCTTCGTTCTAAGTCCGTCTTCGACGATCCGTATATCCACGAAAAGATAACGAGAAGCCCTACACTTGTATCAAATCGTCATTACCTTAAAACTTTCCGAACAAAATCCAAAATTCATAAAAATTCCAACTACCACTTTACGGCTATACCCTTGTGCTCCAAATCACAAACTGAATTCCCATATCATCTATCCTAACTTATCCACCCCTAAATAGGTCTAAATCTCCCTTTCTCAAAGGCCCTAAGCATTATGATAACCGGTCTTCGAGTCACGGCTCCACATTAAGAAATGATTCGGAACAGGGTGTTACAAAAGCCCACTTAAATCATGCTCCATGGATGTTTGTCGCACGTGATTAAATCTTCAACTTCATATTAATCAATGTTCTAAAAAGCTCGTAATGGCTTCGCCGTGGCATGCCATGGCTCCAAGGCTTGTACTTGGCGCCAAACTTTAATAAAATATCTTCTTAAGTCACACATGTACATAAAAATCAATAATAGTAGAATATATATATATATATATATATATATATATATATATATATATATATATATATATATATATATATATATATATATTAAAATTGCCGCCTTAAGTCAATGCTTTACAAATAATGTAGCTCGCCACGAATCAAAAAAGCTTGAGGCTTGACATTGCCCAAAACACCTCGTTAATGATTGATCCACGTAAGATGTCGTGAGAAAACCTAAAAAAAATCATTTATAAGGACTAAATGAGTACAAAACAAAAATGTCTCAACTATATATATATATATATATATATATATATATATATATATATATATATATATATATATATATATATATATATATATAGGTTCATTTGAGACCATGCTAATTTTGTGAGACCGTGAGATCAAATCTAAAAATAATTTTAAAATGCAAAATAAAAGGAAAAATCCAAAAATTCTTTTTTTAATTATTATTTTTGGAACTTTAATTAACTAAAAAATAAAAAAATAAATAAAAAAATTTACAGTTTTTTTTTTTTTAAATATGTAAAATATTCTAATAGAATATTATACTGTAAATATTCTAATGTGATTTTTGGAATGTTAGAATATTCTACTAGATTTATCATATATGTAGAATATTCTAATATTGTACTAGAATATGTAAAAACTGTTTTTTTTTTCGGTATTTTTGTAATTTTTTTAAAATATAATTTCAGAAAATAATATTTGAAAAAAAAATTTCGAAAAATTTCAATTATTTTGAATTTTAAAAATACTTTTTTATGTACTAAATAAGTGACTAGGATTGAGTCTCACGGTCTCACAAAATTAAGTCGTGTCACATGAGTATACAAAATAATTAAGGACTAAATGTTTATAAATTGAGATATATTACCCTATTAAGTCCTTTTTACCGGCTAACATAGAGTAGCCGGTCATAATGACTGAATGTGTACAGTTTAACAAGTTGAAGGGGTAAATATGATCGAAAAAAAAATTCAACAACCAAATATGTACAAATTAAAAAAAATATTACCCTTTTAAATCATTATACCTAAAATATAAAACAAGAGTCTTTCTTGAAATAACCATTTAGGTTATGGTCATAAAGATTTTATATTTCTATTTTCCCCTCCATTAATTTTTATTTAATAATTTTCATTCCTCATAATTTTAAGGTTAAATTATTAGTATTTTTTAACATTATGATTTGGTCCTTGATCCCTTATATAATTTTTTTGTTAAATTCTTTAAGATACACTTTCAAATCTTATTCCTGTCTGTCTCCTCCGTACATAAGTTTGTATCCAAATTTTATTTTGATATTTTTATGCTCCACTTTATATGGTTGAATCATCTCCATGGTATATGTGGTGTCGAACTGCGTTATTCAACATACTGAGGCTTTTGCAGCATCCTGCAGACAGTCCGAACCCTAGTTATCTTTTAAAAATATGATTATATTTTTTTTTAATTATGATGAAAAAATATAATGTTTTATCGTGCCTCGTAGGAAAATTCAAATTATTATAAAATGCAAGAGATATTCCAACTAAACAAACTATAACCAAACAGTTTAAATGAAGGCAAAACTACAAATGGTCAACTTTTGTTTTTTATTTTCCTTAGTAGACATTTAAATAAACTACATTTGTACACATATAGCTCACAGAGCATAAGTAAATAGCAAGGTAACATCAGGTTTACCTTTTATGTTTTCCACAACCAAAATATGTTAAATAAAGAGAATATGATTTATTAAGGTAATTAACTTTTCGGTATGTTCGCATCTATGTAACTATCTTTTTTTTGTACACATCTAAGTAACAAACTTGTTGGAAGTGTTCACATATGACGATTATGATCTGCTATAGCAGGTTAAATCCTACATGTGAACGCTTTCAACAAGTTTGTTACCTACATGTGTACAAAAAAAATAGTTACCCAAATATGGTCTCTAACTTATTTTTTTACTTGGATGGTCTCTACTGTTTATTTTTGTTGCACGTTTGGTTCTATGTTACCTAAAAAGACTATTGTGCCCTAATTAATTTATTTTTTTAATTAATTTTCTTATTTATGTATTTATTTTTTACATATTTAAAAAAATTTATAGACCACACATATTAGTGTGGTCTATTAACTTTTTTAAATATATAAAAAATAAATACATAAATAAGAAAATTAATTAAAAAATAAATTAATAAGGGCACAATAGTTTTTTAGGTAAAACAGAGACCAAACGCGCAACAAAAACAAACAGTAGGGACCATCCAAGTTAAAAAATAAGTTAGGGACTAAAAGCACAAATTCCCCCAAACCATAGGGACCATTCATATAATTTAATTTTACTTTTCGTTTGGTTCATATTTGGGTATTTTTTTGTACACATCTAGGTAACGAACTTGTTGAAAGCGTTCACATCTATGATTTAACCTGCTATAGCAGGTCATAATGGTCATATGTGAACACTTCCAACAAGTTTGTTACTTAGATGTGTACAAAAAAAAGATAGCTACCTAGATGCGAACATACCGAAAAGTTAATTACCTTAATAAGTCATATTCCCTTAAATAAACGAGTTAAAACTAAGTTGAATCATTTCAATTTCGATATATATATATATATATATATATATATATATATATATATATATATATATATATATATATATATATGAGGTTGAGATCGGTTGAGAACTCAATGTTTCTTGAGAACCCGAGAACTAAAAGTAGAGCGTTGGATCAAAAGTATATTCTTTAAGGACATGATCGTCATCTTACCAATGTTATTTAATGTTTAATGTTTTTGTGTTATTTAATATATTAATATTGCGGATTTATTTATTTTTTCTAAATATTTTTTTTAAAAAATGGAGATTTTTTAATTCTTTTCAAAAAACATGAATATTTGTAAGTAGATCATCGCTATATATGCATATTTCTTATACTATAATATTTGTAAGTAGATCATTTAAAAAATCTTATTTTTATTAATCAATCTATAAACATAATAGTATAAGTGTTTTATTCGATACAAAATAAAATAAAATAAAAAATTACAAAGATTCACATTGTTATGATATCTTCATATCAAGATTTCCATATTTTCTTCAATTTCACTTTTTACATCTTCAAAACTTTTCCACATTCTTCAAAATCTACAAGAAAATAAAAATAAAAAATTGATTAATGCAAGAACAATCATAAAAATATACATGTATATGTCATGTAAGATTCACATGTGATTCACCTGATGTGATTCATATGTGATTCACTTATGATTTACATTTGAATTACATGTAATTCATATGTGATTCAAATATGAATTACATGTGAATCATATGTAATTCATATGTGATTCATTTGTGATTTACATGTGAATCACATGTAATTCATATGTGATTCACATGTGATTTACATGTAATTCATATGTGATTTATTTGTGATTTACATGTGAATCACATGTAATTCATATGTGAATCATCTGTGATTTACATATGAATCACATGTAATTCATATGATTTACATGTGAATCATATGTAATTCATATGTGATTCACTTATGATTTACATGTATGTCGCATGTAATACATACGTGATTCACTTGTGATTAACATGTAAATTACATGTGATTCATATGTGAATTACACGTGAATCACATGCAATTCATTTGTAATTCACTTGTGATTTACATATGAATCATTACATATTTGATATTGTAGTAAGTAAAAAAAAGTTGTATAAAGTTGATCGGTTTTTTCTACTGATTTGAAGCATTCATAGGCTGGATATGCATAACAAAACACCATTATGTAATTTAGTAGTTTTTTCATTAGAGAAATAGAAAGTGAATTGAAATTTTGTGACAATTGAAAACAGAAAAAGTTTTGATTAACTTACACAAGTCCTCTAGTAAGAAAAGATCCAATCATCTTGTAAGCCTGTTAGAAACAATGAATACAATGTTCAAATAAATCCATTCACCAACTATGAGAATAAGAAAACAAAAACATGTGCAAGTTTCTTCATGTCTACTCTATTATGTTGTATCCACAACTAGATTCAAATATTGAAGCTTAAATTAGGAAAACGGGCATAAAACTTTCGCGCTTTACTTTTCCTTTTGAAAACAATGTGAAATCACCTAGCGAAACAGCCACAAACTAAGGAATTCATAATCGTGAATTTAAGTATTTAACAACAAAATAAAAGTTGAAATTTTTGGTGAATAAGTGCGGAGGGGGAGCAGGAGAGTGAAATTACCCTCGCTTGTGAGAAATTTGTGGGAAAAAGTAAGAAGTAGAGCAATAATCACGGAAGAGAAGACAACCGACAACATTATTTTGGTTCAGTGTCTATAATTGTCACAATTCTTTGTATAAAAACGAAGAGAACCACAAAACACAATCAACCTAATATCCTAATACATTTTATAAGCAAAAAATTCAGCACATAGGAAGAGAGTATAAACAATCAACTAATAATAATAAGGCGAAAAGGTAAATGAACCTCAAACTATCGAGCGTTGTTGTGATTGAGCCATTGGAGAAGGAAGTCTTGGTGAACAAACTTAATACTCCCGATACAAGCACAAAGATATATGAGAGGATTGCCGACGTCTCTTGAGTTCCGACAGATCCGACAAACATCTTCCTCTTCGTCATTATCATCATCGCACCTATTACTCGAGATATTATTGCTATTAATAGGAACAGTCGAAGCAGAATAATCCGATGAAGAATCAGGTGCGTTCCCGACTCCGTCATGTGCGGCTAACACTACCGGTTCGATCTCCATCAATTGATAATCGGAAAATTGTCGTACCTGTTACAACATCTTCACGCGATCGTTGGTTGATTTATTAGGGCACAAAACTCAGAGAAGGAACTAGGATGCAGTTACCGCGTTGTTCAATCTATCAATTGTCGGGGGGTCTTCAATGACGGGGATCTTCAATGGAGATAGGGTGGTTGTTGGAGGGCAGAGGGAGGGGATCGACGAAGAGTGAAGGAAGTGGGTGAAGAACACGATACATTGAGAGAGTGAGAGAGAGAGAGAGGATACATTTTATTTCTCATATCGTAAACTGATTTGAATATCATATGGTAATTTAATATGAATATAATTGAATTGTGTATTTGTTTTTCCTATAATACCCTTAGTTTTATTTAATTAAGATACTCTTGCTTATATAACTCTCTATTTATTTACAAAAACGCCACCTTCCATCTTGATATTTCTTTTTTTGATCTAACGTGTCATACTTAGTTTTCAGGAAACTTTGAGTTTTCAAATGATCCTTCCTCTCTCTCTCTCTCTCTCTCTCTCTCTATATATATATATATATATATATATATATATATATATATATATATATATATATTAGTTTATAACCTTTGGAAACCACGGTTATAAAATTTATTAAACTTTTATAGTAAAAACTTAAAATTATTAATCAATTATTTTAAATAAATTATCTTAAATATATTAGTAATTAAGAGATTTTTTTTAGTTATATAAAATTATAATCATTGATTTAAATAAATATGTGAAATGTATCATTTTATAATTTGTATTAATTTTTATTCTATTGTTATTAATTTAACTTAATTAGGATGAAAAGTTCAAATTTTGAAATTTGAAATGGACAATCATTATGTTGACAAGTGACACGCATTAATTAGAAGGAATAGTAGGATGACACATGGTAAAAAATGAATAAAATATACATTAATTAGGAAGTTAATAAGGTAACACATGTCAAATGAAGAATAAAACTATTTCTTTTATTAGAATAGAATATCGATATATATATATATATATATATATATATATATATATATATATATATATATATATATATATATATATATATATATATATATATATATATATATATATATATATATATATATACACACACGCATAATTAAATAAGTTACCAACTTAAATAGTAATTCAAAAGTTAAGAAAAATACAATTACAAATACAAAACAATTGTTTAAGGGGAATATGTTTTTTATTTTTAATAACGATTTACTTGAAAGAATTAGAAAAGAAAAAACAAACGCAATAAACCAGTTGAAATTTTACCTAGTTTATATTATTTATATTATAATTCACGTACACTACCAACAATCCCATGAAGTGAAATCCCCAAAACCTTTACTTCCAATGGGATGTACAAGTAACATGCCAACTGCCAAGTGCCAACTATAGAATTTTATTTTTAATTATTTGTTTTTAGAAGTACAAAGCCTTTACTTCCAACGAGAAGTACAGAACCTTTAGATAATGTAACGTTTGAGTTTTTGCGAAACCTTTCTTTTAGAAGTACATTAAAAATATTATAAATAAGCTATATGGTAAAATGGAAAATGTTTTTAGCCAACCACATATTTAATCTTTGCCACCTACTTAATCACGGTACTCTCTAACAAATTCCTTAACTTTCACCCCCTACCTAAAGGGTTAATGACCTGGAAAGATAACGAACTTTGGTCTTTATCCAAATTTAAGTAATCATGTTTTTTCGTTCATATTTGACCATTGAACTTGTTAGATCTGTTCAAAATAGGTTAATATGACTGATAATTATGGTAATATTACCCTATTATGAACAAGTCAAAGAAGTTTATTAGTGAAATGTGTACGGAAAAAACATGGTTACCTGAGTATGGACAAAAATCAAAGTTTCTTACCCGCTTTGGTGATATTAGACAAGAACCGTCTCAGGGACTGTGCCCTGGGATCAGGCTCCGATAGTCAATGAACAATTAGGTTATGCATGGTCTAACCCAGTTTGGTTCCGGCTAGTCTTGGGCTAGCATGTGTGTTAGGTCTTTAAAGAACATACAACCTAGCCCCTTAAGCGTATACAAGCTAACCCCTAACTAGCTGAGCCTAAACTGGATTAGCCAGAGACCTGACCACTTCTTCATACATAAAGACTGGACAACTCAATTTCATGTCACATTAATGGGTCTTATGACTACTTATACTTCATATAAAGAATCCAATATTACCAAAAGGGGTAAGAAACTTTGGTTTTTGCCTATATTTAGGTAACCATGTTTTTTTCGTACACATTTGACCAGTAAACTTGTTTGGCATGTTCATAATAAGGTAATGTTACCGCTAATTACCAATAATATTACCTTATTTTGAACATGTCAAACAAGTTCAATGGTCAAATGTGTACGGAAAAAAACATGGTTACTTTAATGTGAACAAAGACCAAAGTTCGTTACATTTCTAGTTCATAGGAGAGGGTGCCTTTAACATAACGAAGGATACATTTTACAGCCAGGAAATATGTGGTTGGCTCAAAACACTTTCCATTTTAAAAACACTTTTCATGCCTTCGAGAAGTCCATAGGAGAGGGCCAAGATTAATAATAGAAAGGCACCCTCTCCTATGGACTTCACTTTAATTCTTCAGCGCCTTCTTTCCTATAAGCACATCCATGCCTTTGTGTGTTTGTGATCTTTTTTTGCCTTTTATCATAATACATAAATTGTAAGCTCTATCTACTCCTTGCATTTTAAGCTAAGGCGTATCCTCACAAGTGATCTGTGAGTGAAGATGAGATCACATCGGATTTTAACCATTTCACAACGACTACAAGAAAAACGCGATTTTGCTAGGGAAGGTCGCTATGGAACGTATTTTCGTTGTTAATCTGCCATGGATCGTGCTATGGAATGTCGTTCCATAGCAGTGTTGCTACCACATTGTCTACGGATTCATTTCTGGTAGCGAGAATGAGACTTGCTAGGGAAAATGCTACCGACTCCATAGCTCTATGGAACAAAAATTCATAACAATTTTCCAACGACATTTGTTACGAAATCACTTTCCATTGTACTGCTGTTATGGAATTAATTATTGTGGTTACTATGCAACAGAGTTTGTGACGAAAACCAACTCCATAGTTAATTTGCTATGTAAGTATCATTCGTAGGTATTTTGCTAGGGAATTCTGCTATGGAATATGATTTCGATTGCTTGTTTTGCTATGAAACAAAACATGTAGCTAATTTGTGACGACATTTGTTGGGATGTTGTATGCTTAATTAATTTTCTTATTCTATGGATGAATTATTATTATGATCAATGAATTTGTAAGATATGGTTTAAATGAAATGTTTTTGAATTGGTAATATGTGGCATAAACTAATGGCTAAAAATGTAAAAATGAATTATAAAAGTAGATATTGCTGACAAGCAGACTCGAACTTAAGCTTATGCTAGAAAAGGATGCAGTTAAGCAGTTGTGCTAATCAAGTTGTGTATAATTTCTTGAAAAACATATTATATAATGACTAATTAACCATATAGTTTTATTAGAACTCGGGTCCCATTTTTTTCGGGGCCTGTGCGGTTGCACCTCTTGCACACCCTTAAAACCGGGAATGTTAAAGTATATAATCTATGTAGATTATTTTCCTTAATAACGAATTCATTACAAAATTATTTTTAATTCCATTAACTATACTTCATCACAAAAATAACATGGGATTTACGTATACTTCTTCCTACTCAAACAACATAGCAAACAAAAATGACTAAAATGCCTTTTTAACAAAATGATGTAAACATAAAACCAAAACAAAATTATAGTAGTATACAACTTCATATACAATACAATATGAACACAATCGATTATCAACCATTTATATTTTTAAGAAATATACAAAATCTATCATACTCTACATACCAACAACCAACCATGCAATATATTTGTTGATCCTCATCCTCTTCATGGCCTATTGCAAATGCACCTTTAACAGAATGACATGGGTCTTCACATTGGAATGTGATGTTATTCGATGTAAGTCTATGAACAACATCAACAACCCGCAACAACTCTGTGGCACTATCAACAACACATGTGTACTCCCCATCATCCGGAACTGCCCAACGAAAATAGGCATCAAATAATTGTAAACCTACACATTAAAATATCCATAAATTAATCCAGTGTATCATTTTCAATACAACAATAAATACTATACAACACAACATAACTAAATACTAACCCCAAACTACAAACATGCCCTAATTAACTATATATATCATTTAATTTACATATATATACCATCTATACATACCTTCATCACATTGATGAGGCCCTCTTGAAATGTAGATCATTCCAAGCAAATAAATTGCCTAAATATGATCTCTATCTGCTACTTGTCTCAACAAAGTCAATCCTAAATCAAAATTGTCATAATAAAAGCACTCATTCTGTTGACAGAATAACAATATCAATATATAACATTAGTGACACTAAATATTAATAAATGGTATATATTACATATAATTACTAAAACTACACATATAATTCCTTGTCTGAACATGGCTTCAATGTTATTATGCAATGCACATGTGCGTATATATAAATCAGCTTTCAGAATTTTGGGACCCATTCCTTCAAACATGTCAATGCATGTTGTTCTGTACACTTGAGGATCACCCCTCGCTTCATACATCTTCTTTGAACTTCAAAATTTTAAATACACAGTAAATAACAAATAAATAAAGTTGTATTTCATCAAATATACACTCATTAGTTGATGTTTATTGAGAATTACCAGAGTCTTGCAGAGACGATGTCTTTCGCAGATTTTGCCCCAAATACTACAAATATCCGACTCAAAATCTCTAGTGGGAGATCATCTAACGAATGGCAACTTCTAGTATTTGACATTCTACTTACAAAAAACACATTGGAGTAGTTGATTTCAATTTTTTTTAAATTAAGCTTAACTATGAAAGACAGTGTAACAGGGTATGGACAAAAAACTTACTTTATGTTGATCTGGTCAAGAGGAGTACATGAGTCTCTATTATGGGAGAAAATCGTTTTTGAGAACGATTATCCTTCGACGATTTGGGGTATTAGTGTTTGTATGCAGATTTATCGTCCGGAAAAGTTAAGATGTTCTGAATGGTTGAAGAACTGGAACGCCGATGTGAAGTCAGAGGTATGATGGCGCCTTAACAATTTATAGTGCAAAAAGACCAAATTGCCACTGAAATCATTCCAAATACGTGAATACTAAGGGTATTTAACACATTATTCAAATATTATAACCTTTTATAGCTAGGTAAGAGTGGACTTTTGATTGTTGAAAGGAAAAAAGACAAAAATAACATATATATCATAATCCATAATGTAATACATTTATATTACATTTCACCAAATTACCAGTATATATTCATGTATTAATATATATATATATATATATATATATATATATATATATATATATATATATATATTAAAAGTGGAACAAGATTTTAACAACAAACTTTTTTACTTTAGATTTTAGACACAATAGTTTTCTTTGTTGTCACTTTTAGTCCCTAGGTTTATAGTAACTTTTTTTTTACTTTGATTTTAACCACAATAATTTTTCTTTGTTGCCACTTTTCGTCCCTATGTTATGCATTTACAATTTTACCCTATGCAAAGCATGTGTTCTCCACTAGTTGATATTAAACCAAATTACCAAATCCAAAATAAAATACATGTATGTTTATGCCTTTACAATTGTATTTTATATGTATTTAATACTAGGAAAGAACAAACATTTGCTACATACAACTATAATCACAATACAATATAAACACTAATATTGAAAGTCCAAAACACATTATTCAAACATCATTCCAAACTTTTACTCTTTTAGTCCCTTATTAACAACACAACATATTTACTAATCAAGTAATTACTTATCAAGTAAATTACTATATATTCCTATATTAAACCAAAAGAATGTAAATAACATTAATTGTCATAATATGAAAGTACATATCAACAAACTACTCATAAATTATACCAACCTCCCTAGAAAACCTAACGAAACAAGCGTCCCACAAACCGATTTCACACCTAAACACCCATTTGTATCCATTCACAAAAGCGTTTGACACACTAATTACAGACTTATGCATTATACAAGATCTATGGAAGCCATGGAAGTGTACATCTTTCCTCCCTTCCCTATTTAAGTTCAGATGAACCTTATAATAAGTTGCTCTAAGATTCCACTTACCTTTTGCTCTGCGGTAAGCAATGTTCAACATGTCCAAAGCTTTCTACTTCCTATGTCTCCCTTCAGCCATTAACATCATTCCCAAGACAAATGTTGAATCCAAATGTCCCAATGCAGATGCTTCTTTAAGCATCGTTTTCCCTTCATGGTCAGCTTCTAAGAAAAACAACTTCATCTGGAAAAACATTAAACACATAATTTCTAGTTAAAGTTATGCAAAACAAGAAACAGATTAATTACTACTATGCATATATATAACAATGTAGCAATCCATTCCTGAACAGAATATTTGGGTTTCTCATCTCTATGAATTTGTTGACAACTGCATGTTTCTAGTCAGACCAACCACACCAACCACGAAATCGTAATCCATCTAACTCCATATGTTTATATACTTCATCCGTTTTTCCTACCTTGTTGAAGAATCTGTAACTGTAAACTAAACACAAAATTTGCTCCATAATGTAAAGACAACTCAAATACGCTTGTGAAATAGAATGATCGAAGACAAAACTTACACACTCTTCATTCTGAAAGCCTCGACTGCTGAAAATTTTCCTAAGGCGACTATTATTTTCTCCGTCACTTCAAATGGCATGTCTGTTAGCGATTTCCTTTTATTTCTTGATTGAATCTTAGAAGAAGTACTGGCTTCCATAATAATAAACATTCACTAAGATAATAATTCTACGAAAATGATTTTAGGGTCTTTTGACTATTGGAATTTTGAAATTGGGGTTGTTTACAAGTGACTGAAACAACGTGTTTCCTCGGAAAACATTATGACGCCTAGAAGATGCTCCATTATAAAATGACCAAATTTTCCTAATACATACAATGACTCGTGTTTAATTAGTAAGGGGAGTTTTGTCAAAAGTCATAACTAAAAGAAAAATCAATTTCTATTTTAATACACAACCGGTACAAATGATATATGTTGAACAATGACCTATATGTCATCCATGGGTGATACCTTCACACCATAAGCAACTACCATGTTCACCAATGACATGTATGTCATCCATGGACACCATAAGCAAATACCATGTTGACCAATGACCTGTATGCCATCTATGGACACCGAAAGAAAATACCATGTTGACCAACGACCCATATATCATCCATGGGTGATACCATCACACCATAAGCAATTTCCATGTTGACCAATGACCTGTATGTCATCCAAGGACACCATAAGCAAATACCATGTTAACAATTGACCCATATGTCATCAATGGGTGATACCATCACACCATAAGCAACTACCATGTTGACCAATGACATGTATGTCATCCATGGACACCATAAGCAACTACCATGTTGACTAATGACCCATATATCATCCATGGACACCATAAGCAACTACCATGTTGACCAATGACCCATATATCATCCATGGACACCATAAGCAACTACCATGTTGACTAATGACCCGTATGTCATCCATGGACACCATAAGCAACTACCATGTTGACTAATGACCCGTATGTCGTCCATGGACACCATAAGCAACTACCATGTTGACTAATGACTCGTATTTCATCCATGGACACCATAAGCAACTACCATGTTGATCAATGACCCGTATGTCATCCATGGATGCCATAAGCAACTACCATGTTGACCAATGACCCGCATGTCATCCATGGACACCATAAGCAAATACCATGTTCACCAATGACCCACATGTCATCCATGGGTGATACCATCACACCATAAGCAACTACCATGTTGACCAATGACCCGTATGTCACCCATGGACACCATAAGCAACTACCATGTTGACCAATGACATGTATGTCCCCCATGGACACCATAAGCAAATACCATGTTAACCAATGACCCATATGTCATCCATGTATGATACCATCACACCATAAGCAACTACCATGTTGACCAATGACCCGTATGTCATCCATGGACACCATAAGCAAATACCATCTTGACCAATGACCCATATGTCATCCATGGGTGATACCATCACACCATAAGCACCTACCATGTTGATCAATGACCCGCATGTCATTCATGGACACCATAAGCAACTACCATGTTGACCAATGACTTGTATGTCATCCATGGACACCATAAGCAACTACCATGTTTACCAATGACTTGTATGTCATCCATGGACACCATAAGCAACTACCATGTTGACCAATGATCCATATGTCATCCATGGATACCATAAGCAAATACCATGTTGACCAATAACCCACATGTGCTTTTCATTACCATACCAAATAGCCTTATTAGAATATTATGACCACTAATGTGGCTTTAAATGTTATAACTTCATCCCAAACAAATCCCTCAATTCATGCCATTTCCTTTTAGATAAAATATTATCTGGTTTGAATCCAAGCTAAAAGTTTCATTACAATCAATGTTGCAAAACTCTTTAAGAGTTCTCAGGGTCGACTAATTCCTAATGAGCATTCAGTCAAGATAGTGTACTCGGATTAGATAAACTATATGAAATTAGATTATAATGATAACATCATGCTCGGGATTATTCTGTGATTTAGCGCCGTGGGTAGGAAGTCGGTTGTGTAAAGGCTTTGGTCCTTAAGGAGGAAATGTTTAGACCTTTTAGATGGAGGTAATGATGGTTATGATATCTAAACCTTTGAATTGTGTTTTGGAGTCAAAGGGTAAAACGGGAAAAGTCATATACCGAGTTCTTGCATGAAATATGGATTTTTGTTCAAGAAGTTTTTAGTCCAAGATAGTTAGATAATATTGTATATCTCTTCAATACCTTTCTATGGATATAAAGAATGTCAAAATTGGAGTTAGGATGAAGAAGTTATGCCTGTTTGAAGTTTGGTCGATTTTGCGAGAAGCTGAGTACGTTGGACGTACTCAAAGTGTACACTGGCATACTAGGACATCCCTTGTATATTGGGCATTATTTGAGTATGTTGGGTGTATACTGATGGGTTTTGGTCATAAGACATCCTATGTGCTCATACAAACCCTAATGCTCGGATCTAGGTTTCTCTATTGTACATGCTTTGAATCCAAGACTACAAACCCTAATTCTAGCATACAAGTAATCATATTAATATGTAATTAGGTTTAAGATCATACCTTGATTGTTATATAGCAATAACAATCACAACTCCACCTTGGATTGACTTTGGAATGCTTAGAGTCACAAGTGTCACTCCTCTAATGGCTTACAAACACCATAAGCAAATGGAGAAGGTATAAAGAGAGAGGTGAGAGATTAGAATTCGTATCTAGGACCTCTTGGGAAGGGATACACGAATTCATGACCCTAGGGGTGTTTATATAGGTGTAGAGATAGGGTTTCAGTCATTATCCTTATCTAGTTGATTATCCATTAAGCAACCAATAAGATAATCCTTGAATCCTTATCATACTCGAATTCTAAGGCTTTCCAACCTTAAATTCGTCCACCATATAAATAAGATAATCCTTACCTTATTTTGTAACTATCACATAATTACAAATCAGCCCCTCTAGTTTAATTAATTACATTTGATCACAAAACTAATTCTTAATTAATTATTGACCAATATTAATTAAACAAATATGATTTCTCCTTTAATATATTATTCTTATAACATATTAATAAATCATATTATCCTCTCTCTCTTTATTCATTTCTCCAATCAAGTTG